TTATTGTTAACCTTGAATAATATATTAATTTTGCACCTTAAGCTGCTATTATCAAAACATAAGATTTTAAATTGAACACGCCTTATAATTGAGCGTTCTTTAACCGTTTTTTATTGTTGAATAGTGAGAATTCATACTTTTAAAACAGAATATAACATGAGGTACGGTGTTAAATAACTAAATGCTTATTCATCGAATATTCGTACTGTGATTATTGTTGAGAAATACATATAGTCAATTTTTAATTTTCTACCAAAAATATAATTTTAAACTGGCTTATGAATTGTAACTAGGCGATGGAAGTTTAAATGCGCCCGCGCAGATGACTTTACTCCGTCTGATTTGACTCAACTGGATCTTTGCTAAGCATTTTTTTTTTGGAATTGACCGGAAAACCATTAGACGGATAACCTGATGGTAGCCAACGGCGCTGCGGATAGACAGCCGCATCACCTATGGAGTTACCAGTACGTCGCCGGCCTTTGGTGGTTGGGGATTTGATGGTAGGGATGGGGTCTAGATTGGGCCTCACCACACTCACACATGGCTAATCCGATAGGGAAGAGAGGTATGTTGATAAAGATACCCTCCATGGTACAGTTGAGTCAAATCTTAGGTCGTTTATTTCGTAATATTGATCAATAAATTCTTGCGTCGATATCGTTTCGCCCTCAGACTTAAACGAAATATATAATATAAAATCTAAGAATCTGAATAACTTATTTTTATTCTTATTGTATTTGAAGTTACAGTAAGAATAAAAATACTTGCACTTTTATGTAGATTTTGTGGCGTACAATGCTGTGGTACGATTGAGCTGGTTTGATTATGGAATAAGAAGGTTACGGATGAAACCTTTGGCTATACATATATCTATTTTTAAATATTAGTTATATTTATTTTTAATTCGAATCACCCTTTTAACCGACTTTGGTATGAAAATCTGACAAGAAATGATATCGACATTAGACTAATACAAAACGAACTCAGAAATATTGGATACAGTTCTGCTCTGCCAAATATTAATTAATGAAAAATGCTCTAATTATAAGTACTTTTAATAAACGATATGTTTAACAATTTATTACTGTTGTATGATTTTGTTTAACTTTCTCTCTTTATTAACCTATTTGTATTACCGTTGAATGTTTGTATGTATTTCTCTATAATGTGTAGTTTATTATTAAATTGTTTTATAGGGTAATTTTATTGGCATGCTCCAATTAAGTGAATCAACGTCTATATTAATTGCTATATTTGTTATAGTTTATTTTATGTGGCTAAGGAAGGCTTTCCAGATTTTCCAGTTCCGAATCTACCTATTCGTTCTCTACAAACATTCCAAAAAAACATCCAAAACATTTATACCCGTGTAAAAAGGAACAGTTAAATTTTTCTCGTAAAATAATTTACACGACAGTTTTAAAGCATTTCCAAGTTTAACGAAGAGAACGAGTTATTCCATATTGTTGAGTTTATAGTGGTCGGATTCTTAATGAGGACATCATAATGTGCAAAAGTTTAAGAATGTTTTAGTGGACTTTTTTAAACGTTATTTTTTAATTCAATTTTAAGTAGAAGGAAAGTTTGAAACGTTTAAGTCTATTTCTGCCTTTAGGTGAAGAGTTTTCCATATTATGTTTCGTTTAAATGACAATTGACGACGATGTTTGTTGTTTTTTAAGCATCCGGCGATCTTAATTTTTGGCAGGGGTTGCACTAGTACACTTGCAAGTGTAACAATGTGTCAGGACCAGTAGCGGGGAAAGAAACGAGGTGTTTTTAGTCAGTAAGAGTTTGACCTCTCTCCTCCCAAGACGTCTAAAAGATTTCCCCTCTAAAAGTCTAAATTTGTTAATTAAAAGGAACATTTCTTAAAATCTCTTCCTAAAGTAGGGTTCCCAGCTATAAATATATGTCTTCTTTTTTCATACCAAATTTTCAAATTACACGTTTAAGACGAAATCGAAATGCTTTCGCAAAAACTTCTTTATCCATGTAATTGTTCTAGTTTTCGATTTTGGATCTATTATCTTTATCCGTTTAGGTAGGACTGGTTTATTCTATTCCTGGTTGCAGAAAGTCTCTGTATTGATCTAAAGCTAGAAATATTTCTGTTGCTCTGCCACACTTAGTGCATAATTATGTATGTCCTTTTATATCTTCTGTCGCAACCTCATTAAGCGACTCTGCAGTACTTCGTTCATATATCATGTGTGTTTTATCTTTCGTTCATTTCAGGTCAATTTTTTTCTCGTAATATAAGTAGCATCAGGGTGTCATTGAAAAGGCCCATATTCTGTAGTGTGAGGTTTTAAATGATATGATGGCATTACTTGGTTTGGGTAGGTATTTCATTATCTTTTCTCTATGGTGCAGTTAAGTAAAGTTATTGGTGGTTTTTTGCTATTGTTTAATAATTCTCAGCGGACAAAATTCCTTATCTGTGCAGACTCTACTATAGGTATGGTTTCCCCGTTAGACTGCAACAAACAATGTTACCTATATAAAATTATGATATTATTTCAAGTTGTTGTATCATCATGAAACTAGAAATTTTAGGTAGATGTCCGTACCTACAATATCGTTATACCATCGCGCTGGTTTGATGAAGAAAATTTGGGCTTGTAATAAGTCCAATTCTTGGACTGTAGGCTAGCCATGACGAAAAGAGAAGTCGTGTTTTAAGTTTTTTACGAAGTATAAATAAGAATTTAATAATAAAAAATGAAAATAATTTATATGCGATCGTTTAATTAAATGTTGGCCTTGTGCTTCAAATGAATACATTATTCCTCCTTGTTTTGACCACGATAGCTTTTATTGATTTTCATATCATACAAAATGTTTGCCGCTTTAGACAAACATGTTTGTTTTGTATTTATGTTAGGTAGGGTAGTCTCCTCTATTTTAAAGTGGCTTAACACGTTTCTGTGTATCTTTACTGATTCAAAACTTTACTGTATTGATCCAAAACTATTGTTATCATACCACCTTCAAATAACATAATTGTACATTTTTTATCATCAATGTAATGTTCTGTTTATAATCCATAGCATTTGTTTCAAGTTGTTCCTAAAACATCATGAACAGTTTTCTGGACTCGTCGACTCATCGTCATCGTTTCTGCTAATTTGGTCTCTGAAAAGTTTATCCAAATATCACACAAATTCATCTGCAGAGAGATCTGGGTTGATCTATTCTCAGTCGAGGCAGCTCGACATTTTTAGTTGCAATATTGATTCGAAATGAATTATATTTCCAGCGCAGACTCATTTAAAATGCACTGCAGCGATTCTATTTTGGATTTTAGCAGAGATAAACTCTTGTCATTTTAGTAGCTCAGTAGTGTCAGTGATATTCTGAGAATGACAGAACATGAGAAGTTTATTAGGCTTACGGATTTAGGTAGTATCAATTTAAAGTAACGGTCTATTCATGGAATATGGACCTCCTCTAAGTTGCCAGATTGTAAAATACGTAATGCAATGTGATAAGTAAGACAATGATATTTAAGACAGGAATTTGTTTATAGCTTTATCGATAACTTTATGTCAGTGATCGTGGCGGTGATTCCGGAGAGGTCTAGTCATGATCAATATTGAAGTGAATGCTATGATGGGCTGGGTACCTAGCTCCAGTCTGAATAACAGAATACGGTAGAATTGGGTTGCTCTATTGTTAGATCGGGTCAGTACGGCATTTTGGTCTCAGTATTGATCTAAAGCGAATGATATTTTCAGCACAGCCGCAACCACTGACTCTGGTTAATTTATGTTGCCAGACATTGTTTCGACGATTCGAAAATACTCGCGCATCCTTACATCTATTGTGGTCAAAGGCAGTGAATGTCTTTTCTAAAAATAGTATTTGATATGAAAAGCGGGGAAGGAGAAAAGGTTTTTTCGGAGCCGATTTTTCTCTCTCCTTAATAGGAATAGGACGTATCTCAAATCTGTTTAGAATGCCCGATATCTAGTGACATTTTCAATTCCATCTAAAAGGGTCTCTGTCTGTTCTGGCAATGTATAGGTGAATCTGTGGTCGTCTACGTACATCTTTAGAAGTTTCATCACAATGTGTACTATTAAAAGCCTATATAACTTCATCAATATTTTGTTTGGTAGGTACTTATGTCTAATGTAGGCATCTACAGCCACTGCATGTTTATCGCCGTACCTTTCTGAAATTTCTGTTATGTAGTGTAGAGTGGGTCTTGTCACAGTAATTTTCATTAGTTACATTATTTATTAATGCCTTGAAACATAGTCGCCAACAAATTCAGAGGTTTAGCGACCCGACAGTTAGATGGGTATTAAGATTTTTTTTCTAGAAGGTCAATGACTACATCTAATTACAATATTATGTCCTTGTGAAGATTAAATGAAACATTTTACTATACAGCTGATGCAATATTACAATAGACTCGCATTATGATGTGTATCGGAACTACAGCGATATCGCGCGGTCGTAGCATTCACTTCGTAGCGCTGTGCTACGAGCGCCTGACAAGCCACTTAGTGACGTCAGCTATTTATGTAGAGGCTTCGCGCTCCTACGATAGGATCGCCGCTTAGTGCGCTCGATGACGTTGACCTTATTATTATTATGCATATTTTTTAGGATGCATTAATTTCATAATCGGATATATTGTAGAAGGAAAACATAAACTGCGTGTATTAAAAACGATAAATAGAAGTAATAAGATAGAGAAACTGACTGCTACGGTAATTGTAGGAAAACCAAGTTGGGTGTTTTGAAAAGTTTACTTGCTTAAAGTTAATTATTATTATTAATATTAGTTGGGGTAAAGTTTGGGAGTCGGGTGTATGGGGTGGTGGTGCGTGTAGGCGCGCGGTGGGCGTGCTCTGGCGCGGGCAGGGCGGGAGCGCAGCGCGCGGGGGGAGGGGCGCGAGCACGTGCTGCGCGCTCACGTGGTGGTGCCGGCGCGCTGCTCGCGTCCGTCGTGCTCACCGTATGAATAATTGTGTACGGAGTGAATGAATCGATGCGGCGGCGGCGCGGGCGTTGCGGGGCGCGGGCGGCGCGGGGCGGCCGCTGCGTGGAGGGGTGCGCCGCGGCGCGCCAGTCTCGTGCCGGTAGTCGGTAGTGCAGCCGAGCGACTCCGGGAGCCGTCCCCGCCGCGTCGTCGCTCGCTCGTAGTCGTAGTGCGCCGCCCGGCCCGCCCCGCGCCGTTGGCGTCCAAGCCCATGGATACCCAGAATCAGGATGTGGCCAGAAGCCCCGCTGAGGTGCCCAACGACCCGGGGTACGTTCGTAGTCCCGAGAAGCCCGCAGATCGCGCTCTTTTCAGTGTCTGATTGGTATTGTTTATATTGCAGGAAGATGTTCGTCGGAGGCCTCAGCTGGCAGACTAGTCCAGGTACGCTCGTCGGTCCCTGGCCGCGCTCCGCCCGAGCCACTTGCGGATGTGCATCCGATGCACGGCCCGGCGACGGCTGACCGCTGCTTAGGTCGCGGAAGGCCGCCTCCTATGACCGTGAAATGATAAAACGCGGATAGCTTCCAGTGACGAAGTACTGAATCGGATACATAAACACCGGTAAAAGTTTGATAATCAGCTGATTACTTAACGTGTTCACAAGTTGTCGTTGTCGGTGTGCAGGAGTGGTGCACGTGATAATATCGGTGTGAGATGCGTCCAGGGGTATTTAAAGCGTCGTGAGCGTGTAAAATAGGCTGTAATTCAGTCATGTTATCGGGTTGTATTGGCAATCAGGTGTGCGGCCGCGGCCATGCCGGCTGCGCGCGCAGGCTCAAACGCCTTTCCGACCTCTCCACCCCTCGGGGTTGCGAGCTATTTTAGTTCTTATCACTAGTAAATTTAAGTAGCAAATTCCAGTTACAGTTTCATAACCGGCTTTTGCTCCAAACAGTTATCACAACATAACCTCAATCTCAAGTACGTAAAGCTCGGTACCGGCGCGTTTCCGTCAAGTCGACTCGACTCTATAGTCTATTCATACTTAGTAGGACAGGGAAACAATTGGCTTTAAGGAAAATTTTGTATTTAATAATGACTTGTGAAATTTTTTAAATACATACAGAACTAGTATTTATTGTTTTATTCCAATCCTTTAACGCAGTTCAGTATTATTCAAAATTTGAATTTTCGTTCGATATTATTTATGATTTATTGCATTAAAGTTGGTAGATACCTACAACAATAATAAATGTTTAGTTATGTTAATTTGTGTGTCCTATATTCTGGGAATGTAATGAAGTCCATCAATTCTATAGCGCGTACAAACAAATTAATTGCGCGATGCAACACGCAAAAGGTCCGGTGCGCGTGCGCGAGTGATTTGCCGCCCGCGGTATTGGGTCGTGCGCCCACGCCGCACTTTGATCCTCAATATCTATGCCAACTTTGTTCTTCTCTGGAGATATCTAGGCCGCTGCATCAGCGATTACAAGCAAAACACTCGAGATATTATCGGATCTATCATCGATCGTGTGCTTTATACCGGGAACTGTCAGAAATGAGCTCACTACTGTGCAATTCCCGCTAACATTGTTAAACCGAATAGCTAACAGTCACGTGTTGCTAAAGCAACGTTTTACAAAATTACTTTTAGTTTTTTTTTCTTACTGTCTCGTGATGGTTTCCACGTGATTGTAATATTCTGCCAATTTTCGTTTACCGTTATAGTGAACCTAGTTTTTCTTTCCGGTTCCGAGCCAATTTTATTCTAAAGAGTCTCACACCGGTTAATGTCCTTACAGATTTTTCAAAGTATTTAATAATTTAAACTAAAATGACGCTGTTTGTTTAAGATGTTTGCACCTTACCGGAGTTATTTGATAAGATAATTTTTGATATTTGTAGGTATCACGACACACGGACGGACACACCAACTGTTATCGCATTCTGATAGGGAACGAAGCGCCCTAGACTCCTTAATCTCAGCGTTACAAATATCTAAGTCTTCAATAATCGAGCTGTCTGAATTTTTCACAAAAATCAATCACGATTCTTGATAAGATTGACAGCTACAGAATGGTGTACAAACTACATTCGTAGTGCAGTGCTTGTTCGCACACTCCTACTTATCTACTTCAAGGAGATTCACACGACATCACTGCTTCCCATCCGATGAGAATCTTGTTAGAAATTTTCTTTCATATAATATTATGACTTAATGTATCCCTTAGATTAATCGAAGTACCAGTAGATACATTGTATGTAATAAATAAGTTTACGCATATAGGAATTTAAAATTCTAATAAGCATAGAGAATTATGTAAGAAATTATAATATAATTATTCCAATAAAATATTGGTTTTCTAGTAAAAGCTGGAAGTATTACTTTATTATAACCAAACTTGTTTGGTTTTATAATATCCAGTCTATAGAGCGATGAGAGTTAGAAAAAAAGAAACTGACATTAACTCAATGGTGAGAAAACGGTGTATGTCACTCTCATAATTTTTTAGTCTTAAGTAATGACTAGGGTCATATTCATGAGGAGACAGGATTAAAATATTTCAGACTCAGTCAATAGTTAACTTTTAAACAGTTGCTTATTTCAATGCTTATATCTTCATGTGCGTAGATTACATTTAAATTTATGTAAATGCCCCTCATCGTTCATCTTACGACTTAACCTAAAATAAGCTTTATTGACAGTCTCACTAAGGTCAAAATGATTTCTAATGAATTATTTTCGCTACATCCGCTGTTGCAAAGAAAATCGGTCAACTATTCAATCCTTTAGCATTTATTATCAGTAAATTCTAACGGTATAAAGTTCCGAATGAAAATGTACGGTAAAGTTTAATGTTTGTTTCTAAGAAAGTAAAGATCCAAGTGTCACATGTCATGTCGTTGATCAATTACAAGATACGAGTTTGTTGGCAACGAAATATTATTGTATTACTGTTGCATTCTACAAAAAAATTAAAAGTAAGAATTATGTATATCTATTCCTGTCTGAAGAGGTTGACTGGTTTAAAAAAACAGACAGAGCATCAGAGTGGAACTGCACAAAATATTTTCTTTATCAAAAACAAATTAATTGTCAAATTACATTCAGTGGTCCTCGTCATTTCAGATATTTAGATAGATACGAGAAAACAATACAAATGTAAGAAGCTTGAGAATACGTACACCAATTATTTTTGTACGTAAAATATTGGATGGGAGCTTAAATTATAATGTAATGACATTTTAATGTCCGAAGATGATACTTTCCACTCGGTCGCTTTCGTCATACAATTTTAGTGCTTATCTTGATGTAAGGCAATTCTCCATTAGTTGATACGACACGACACGACGCATTCGTAATGATTCTCGTAGATACACTAACTCTTGCGCATTTAACGTGCCGCATCCAGCAATGGAAAAGGTCACATCACAGTATGTGCAACATTCCCTTTTAAATGAAAAATATAGGACAAGGATAGTCAGTTCATAAAATGTGCTAAACTAAAACTAACTCATTATAGCCAGCTTCTGTTTAAATAAATGGCGAAAACAGCAACCGAAGTAGGTATTTAGATTCTGAACAAAAGATAGTCATTATCTTTGTCGAGGCGCCTCGTATCATTACAGTGACGGTACACTGCACAGACTTAACCAATGTTAACTGGTACATAAATACTTAACTTCAAGTAACATAAATATTTACCGATTCCGTTATTTAAAGCATATTTGGTTATCATTTGCATAAATGGCAGTTCAAATGTTACAAGAGAGGTAGAATTAATAAGGATTAGAAAGTATTTCGTCCGCAGGGCGTGAGTAAGCGCGTGCGCATCGATGTTTTTCAAGTCTATCTTACTTAATTGCTGCGTCAACACTCGCATTTATGTTCATTGTATTGAGATAAGTACACAATTAATCGTCATTATTTTGTGAAGGCATCCGTTTCTTTTCGTTATGTATATTTAAAACCAAACACTAATTTATACAGTAACGAATAGTTCTCAATCAACTGTTGCATATTATGCATTATGCATTATATTCATCCTTTGCCCTCGAACAATATAAACTTAATTGATTAAATGAATCACTCAGGTATTGCTTCGTCTCCTAATTGAGCGATTAACCTTTAACACTTCGCAATAACAGCTGAAATGTACCTGTGTGCAGGCCTTTATTGCCGTTTCGTCCAGTGTAGGGCACTGATGTATCGGCGTTGGTGTTTTAGTGACTGCACGAGTTTGTCTGAAGTAGTAAACTGTCATTGTTTAAAGTTTTAGCTGTAAACTGTTGATGGCTGAGGTCGTTGCGTGCTCGTTGCCCCCAACACAATACAGATGCAAACGGGATCGACGCCGGACTCGTTACGGTTATTATCAACGACGATTGTTTGCCTCAATCGTGCTCGTGCGCACTGCGTCTTTACTTTTACTGAACCGTTTTGTTATACAGTTCCCTTTGACTCTTTATGAACACGCTTCACGAATTCAATGCGCACTTGATGATTGGAAATGTTAATTTCTATACCGGTACATTCAAAGATTAATGGCATTATACCAGATTACACATTAAAATTATTGTCACACAACGTTAAATACGACTGGATGTTTGTGTGCTTCAAGACAGATTTAAACAGATAATGGGTCGTTGCGTTTGAACTTGTTGGTATTTCCAAAATGCAACAAATGACAACGATATGTTCGTCCCATCTGTCTATGTCGAAGCAGTTCTATTTTCATTTGAAGCGGACTATAATATCTAATGTCGTATAGTTGAAATATTTTTATCGCGTTTCTTTAGTAGAGTTAAAATAACGCTTTCGAATGATAATTTCAGTTTGGTATAACGAGATAATTTTCTATAGGTAAACTCGAACAATTCCTTTTAAATGATGAGAATTATCATTCAATTTCCTCTAAGACAAAAGCTCGCGAGCCCGGTTCGCACTCTGAAAGGGTCACAACTCAATTTCTTAGTCGATTGCGAGGAATTCACCTTCGTCGCCATCTATTATTAATCCAGAGATTTTGCATACGTTGAATAATGCAACAGCCGAGTCTCTGATGCAGAACGAACGGATTGTACTTATTTAATTTCCACTTTGAGGGGTTCGCGACGACGATGTTGCGACTCGCGAACATAGGTACCAATCAGGTAGAAACTTACTGTATCAACGAGTCCTGATTCATCTCAGCATTGTATTTACCTGGAAAGCCTTTTAAACTGTTACAATAGAATTGAAAGGAGAACAAAATTTCCCCATTTCGACGAGCTTAAACTCTAATGTAAAAAGGAAACGGTACAAATCTTTCTACGACTAGGTAGAGGATACATTTACTACTGTACCGTCATTGAAAAACTACGAAAATAGAACTACAATCGAATACATGTATCTACGGAAAGATCAGTGGCATGAATAAAAATACTTCAATAAACCTAAAAATATCTTGGAATGTAATCTAGTTTCTTTAATAAAGTTTCTGTCAGTATAACTACTTACATTTGAGGCATTGCCCTA